CGCGCGCACACACACACACACACACACACACACACACACACACACACACACACACACACGCACACACCTGGATTTTACCACATTCCAGCAAGAAGGTGTGAGCTCCTGCTTACAACAAATGGCCAATAGGATTACGAAGGATGGATCATTGTATCTCTGTCCAGGGTGGAGCAGCCCAAGAACTTAAAAGTATTGTAAAAACCTAACGCGTGGTTCAGAGGATGGAATTCCTGCGGGAGCTCTGTCTTTCTGATCCCAGCGCTGTATGGACTTCACCTGTGCTCAGACTTCCTGTAAACTTTCTGTTGATTTTCAACAGTCCTCCCCTGTCTTCACTTCTCGTGCTTTCAACAAAACAATCGGGTAATTTCTAACATCTGTGTAATATCATTGCGCAGTAAATTTAACGTCTGGACAATTTTGGACAATCAAAACAAAAACAAAACATCTAAAGATATAATACAGATGTGTGAGAAATTAAAATAGATATATTCCACCATTTTCTGATATTTTCTTTAAAAAACAAAATCAAGAAAAGAATATGCAGATTAATTAGTAAATTAACTGAAAATAATTGTTGGGTGCAGCCTTTATAATGGTCAGAAAATAGTGAGAAATTGCCCACCACCACCATCATGTATTTGTTGTCCCATAATACTCAATTTACAGTGACATACACAAAGAAAGCCAGGAAATCTTCACATCTAAAAAACATAAATCAGCAAATGTTTGGCAAATGGTTTTAGCTCGATTGATGCTGGATCAGAATGCTGTTGATTAATTTGTTTTGATTGACTAATCATTTCAGCAGTACAGTAGACAACATAACTTTGTAAGTGCAGCCCCTTGCAATATTACTAAAATGGTAACTGATTCAAAATTGTACCACCTTACAATGATGGTATTAGTTTTAAACTGAAGTGTAAAGTATTTTATCTTGATAGCTAAAACCAAACAGATTAGACCGACTATACCTAAATTACAACCTCAATGCAGCAAAAGTGATTAGACATGATTTCCAATTTACAAAATGAACTGCATGAACCAAGTTACAAAAACCTGTAAACACTACAGCTTCCTCTGTTTTGACCTGAGTTATACCTAATGCAACATGGCTCCATGTGGTAAAGAATTGCCCGAACAAGTAAGATCTTCACAAAGATGGGAGAGGGAACAAAGCAATCATCAGGACGCAAGTGAGTGTAAGACGCCACATTACACTGCTAGAAGATTAATTAAATCAAATCAAATTAATTAGCTTCTTTCTTCTTGGACTGTCTCAAACACATCATTTATTTTTAGTCAAACATTCTAATGATATTGACCAATTACTTATTTGCTCTCCCTTACAGTTAACTAACACAAAATCTTGTGATTTAAGTGCATTTGTACAACAATAGATGAAACATAAGGAAATGCTGACCACAGCAAAATCCCACAGCAAACAGCAAAAGAGAAATGCAGCTGCTTCATGTTTCACTTTCAAGTATTGACTGATTCATGTGTCTAATTTTATGAGATTCACTTCCTGCCTCGGAAGCCTGTATTTTTTCTTCTTGGCCTTAGTGAGTCTTAATGTAGTGTCCAGGTTGTAACAGTAGGTGGCGCCGTGTGGTCACTTTAAGTGAATTAGTGTTCTGCTGGCACTTTCATTCTATGTGTATTCCATGCAACCACCAGTGGTCATATGTCCTGGTCAGCTGAGACATCTGAAATGCATATATGCATATGCATATTTTAAACATGGAGTTTCTCCTACTGTATGTAATGGTCCATGTAGCCACGGAGTCGGCATTGTAGCCTCTGTTTAAGGACCTATACAATTTTAGAATCACCAGGAAAGGTAAACAGTAATGGCTACATTCAGCATGAGGATACCAAGGATATGTCCAGTCACTATAAGTACCATCTGTAGAGTACTCCATTCAGAACAATGCTGTTATCATTTCAGAATAAACTGGGACTGTAAACACAGCCTGAAGACAGCGAGCAGTCAGTATGTCAACAGGACTAATCTCATCTGCAAGACATTGCACTTGAGAGCTTCACCTACACAAACACACTGCTACAAAGGTCTCGTAGGCTGAGTGCCAAATTATCAACCTCCCACCACAAGTTAGTTTCAACATCTCTCTGTGTCAGTGCTGTTAGTCTGAAATGACTTTAGCAAGGCTCATGCTTATTTTTCAGCCAGTTCCTCTCTAGAGATGCTGTATGTTAATTCACATATAGCTATTTTTTTGGACCACTGTCCCCACTGCAGCTGTTTGTTGGTGCTTTTGCAGCTCACACATCAAAATACATGTAGCCTATCCAAATACTAGACAGACATTTGACAAATGCAGCAGTTGGTGATCATTTGCAGTATGATGCTTCTGGCAACAGTTTGAAGAAAGCCATTTCCCTTTTCACGATTATAATGCTCTAATTTGGAAGGACACTACCCATTCTGGAGAAGATGGAAACAGCATTTTGACAACTGCTCTATTTTCACATATGATGGCAATCGGTTCTGTACCGGAAACAAATTCCTTGTGTGTAACATACTTGGCCAATAATGGTGATTATCCTTATCCATTATCCTTATTATTAATTCTGTGTCACTAAACAATGATAAATGTTATTTGGTAGGCTATGTATCTGGTGTTATCTGGGATCAGTGGTTACTATTGTGTTGCATGCAACAGAGAAAGAGGGAAAAAGTGGTTTGGTCTGAGCCTGAACAAGCAAGATTAGTGTCTCCATTGCACAGAAATGCTGTGACATTTCTAAGCATAAACACACAGAGTAACAGACAAAAATCAGCCCTGCACTACAATGCTCCCAGATGCAAAACAACAGCAAGCTCTGTGGGCTGTGCAGGCATTTCTTTTTTTCTCCCTGCATAGGCATTACACAGGCAGGCTAGAGCTCCGCCCGGAGCCTATAATGAGATTATGAGTGAGCTGGTGAACTTTCCCCCAGATAGACAGCAGGCAGGGAGGGAGGGAGGGAGGTGCAGGGAAAGAAGGAGTGAATCAGTGAACAAGGATGAGAAGGGCTGATTTATTGTGAGCATTCACATCTGATGGAGATCCAAGGGAAAGAAAAACTACTGAGTGCAATACTGAAAGCAGGTTTTAGAAAAGGAAGATTTACTGTAGCTGGCAACGCCTGAGACAGCCCCTCAGGCTTGGAGAATGTCCTGTTGGGTGTGCAGCCACTGTGGAGTACACAGGGTTACAGCCTAATATTTGGACTGCGGCACCCACTGAAGCATAATTTTCTCCGTTTGCAGCTCCAAAACACATATGAGCTAAAACTCGATGCTTTTAGAACCAGTTTCTTCTCACATTTTTATGACTGTTAAGAGCAAGGGCAGCTTAATGTTCGTCAGTTATCACCATACATAATAGCTAAAATACAAAGATGCTGTGTATTTGTTCTTAAAATAGACCAGCTTCCACAAACAGACAGATACACGTGCCAGTGTTCCTGTTTTTCTGCTCAGCCTCGCCTGTATGTGTGTGTGTAGGCGGCGTATCTCCTACTCACCACAAAAACAGCAGGAGCTCTGTTTATCCTTCACATATCAGCCACAACAGACAACAGACCTGCAGACATTTGGGCTACTGTGACCACACTCCTAGAAGGAACTACAGTGTATCCATCCCTGAGGACACGGAGTGTAATGTAGATATCATGACCTCTCAGCATGGCGTTAGTCAACACGACAGCACAGTAACATAACGTTAAACAGACCCTCCAGGGCTGCATGACTCATAGCATTACAAAATACCCATTAGCGCTGGTTCAAATGCACATAATGCTTTTTTGAATGCAAAGTATTCATAGAGGAACCTAAGCATCAGAATAAAATGTAGTAGGCTGGGTTTGGCACATACAGTATGTATATACAGTCAATGCTTTAACAGTATCCAAGAGTAACACACAGAACTGAAGTGTGTATAGAGTCACACTCAGGCAGCATCTCTTAGACAGGGAGTTTGGACCCAAACAAACACTGAAATGTTGTGGAAAAAGTGAAGCATACTCTATAGTAGGTGTCTGGAGTAGAAGCATTATTACCCTTTGTGACTTATACATTTAGTAGGAACAAGAATCACCAACTCAACCAGATGATAAAAAGATGTTTAAAAGAAAGTTGGTTGTGGTATTTAATTGATAACCATCCTGTGAGTCATATGGAGGAGGGAAAACCAGGAAAATAGTCCAAGTAAAATGAGCTTGGAGGTCAGAGTACGCAAAAGTGACCATGTAATCACAAGGTTTACTCTCATTCTGACCAAGTGTGGTCAGACAGTATTTCTGAACAGTTACTTTTATATAAAAGCAGTACCATATCAACAAATACATCCTGAGATTCATCTGTCAAAACGCAACCAAAATCCAATCTATAACCCCATGCAGATCTATGTGGGGGCCGAGGGGCTTTAACACAACAGTACAGTAAGTGACGCGACATTTGGGAATATTTGGAAACACCGCGTGTTTACATCCTCTGACTTTAACGGTCGGTCTAGCAGCTAGCTTACACACCTAAGGAGCGCGCCAGCTACGAGAGCATTTCAGGTTATTTGCATAGTCACGAATTCTTCCTTTGCTACATGAAAACCCTAGTGGCTAATCTTTCCCAAATGTGTCGCAGTCTGTCCCACCTGTCCTCGGTAGAAAAGCCCCGTCAGCTCGAAAGCATGTCTACGTGACACAGACTTGTTTACTAGATCCGCCTTCTAGCTCAGCTGCTCTGTTCTCACAACACAATGTCGACTGACACGAGTGTCATATGAGAGAGAAAAGTCCGGACTTAGCTGGAGTTTGCACCCTACCTGCTCTGTCATGCGTGTTTCTCGGGCGGCAGGAGCACCTCATGGTCCCGGATTAAAACCTCTTCTTCACAACGTGGAGAGAAGCTGGAGCGTCTGCAGCAGCACGGACAGCAATGAATGAAGTGAGGGGGCAGGCGCGCGCATTGTCGTCTCCATACGCACGAGCACAACAATGCATGTCCACATGTTGTCGTTTGGCTGTGGCCTACTGTTCCATGTTTACCTTTACCCCAGTCTCTGCCCAGTCTACACATGTTTTAGACATTCTGTCCATCAACCACAATCAGTCACATGCACCACGTTGTGCAGGACACATTCTTCTTCTTTTATTTTTATTTTGCTTCTTCGTTTTTTGCAGCGTCTTCTTCTTCTTCAAGGGGATCTAAAAGCTAGAGGTTTACTATCAGTTGCTTTTCTGATAATTTCATTAACTGCCTATTTGTTAAATAATTAAATCAATTCAAACCTACACTTTAACATTTTAAACCTACAATAACACATTTTCAAACCACTTGGGGACAGGAAGCTGGTTTTGAACACAACACTGATATTCCACTTTTTAAGGTGATATGGTGAACTTAACAACCCTTTTGCCTATTTACACATTCAGCTTTGGAAAATGTAAATGCAACATCCACAGTTTTTAGCTGTGCTGTGGTCTCCAGCACTTCAGCTGCTAAGTGCTTCACCATGTTTAGCAGCTAGTTGCAAACCTTGTCTGTGTGCTGTTGCTGAGTAGGTAGTGTACAGTGGGGTCTGAGAGCCTTTCACCAACCACAGCTGCTTGCTGTGGTTGAAAACACAATATAAGAACCAGAACAGTGAGGGTGTGAGTCAGATGGTTAAACAATGAGCTGAGCTGAAACTCAATATAAGGCTCCATGACACTGCTGGGAGCAGATTATGGTGATAATTTAATCACTTTTTTCACATCTCATCATCTTTGATGGATTGTTATCATGTTACTATTGATTATAGCCACTTTTTTATGCAGTATCAACAGAGGTGGGCCATGCATTAATGACTGAAGCCCATAGGGACCCTTTTGCCTCGGGGGTGTCAAAACAGGTTTATCTGGCCATGGAGTGGAAGAATTGAGACAAACAGCAGTGTCTCAGATGTATCACAAACCTTTAATGCAGGCTATGTATCGTAGCTAAAGATGTTTGCCTGCAGGCGAAGGCTTTTTAAAGGTGCACGTCACTGTTATTATTCAGCTCCATTTGACTCGCATCTGCACGTGTGTTTTGCTGCAGCAGCTGCTTTTGTCTGAATACTTCTAGCACCAGTTTCTAGGTGACTGAAGAGCTTTCCACGAGGTGGTTAGCAGATATTACCAATTTCTTCAAGCAGCAGACTTAGATGCATGATGTGTCCATCTACATGTCAGCAAAAAGCTCTGGCTTTAGTTGTCCATCCATCCATCCATCCATCCATCCATCCATTTTCCTCCGCTTATCCGGAACCGGGTCGCGGGGGCAGCAGCCTAAGCAAAGATGCCAACCCTCCAGCTCCTCCGGGGGGATGCCAAGGCGTTCCCAGGCCAGCCGAGAGTTGTATTAAACTTTATTTAAAGTCTATGTGTTACCCATCATACACAGCGTTTAACATCACTACTCAAAAGTGTAAACCTACTGAAACCATAAGAATATTAATAACAACAAAACTTACTCAGTAAAGACAGAGATAGTTGATCCTTTTAGGAATTTTATTGAGATTTTAAAAGAGTAGTTGGAGTAATTAGTTACCACAGGTAATTAATTTGGGTGTTACTAAATTACATGACACATAGGCAAACAACCACATTTACTCCTAGGGGCAATTTAGAGTCTCCAATCAACCTAAGCTGCATGTCTTTGGTATGTGGGAGGAAACCGGAGCGCCCGGAGAAAACCCACGCAGGCACAGGGAGAACATGCAGACTCCACACAGAAAGGCCCCTGGTCGGCCCGGCCTGTGAGGCAACAGTGCTAACCACTGCGCCACTGTGCTGCCCTGATTAATTTGTTTTCTTTCCTAAATTACACATGTGACGGCCCTGTCATGTTATTTAGTTAAACATCTGGCCAAATTGATTAATTTTTTTTTTTAGAAAGTTTTAACAGCAGCCTTTTGACTTGTCCGGTGATTCCAATTTAAATATCTGCTATGAAAGGGGTTTGGTTTATTTCTTTCACTTCTGTGGTTTTCTCAGTCCCAGAAAGTGGCGGAATCTTTTCCAGCGTGACTTCTGTTTTGTCGTCTCTGTCATGGTCTTTTCAGAGACCACAGCGTTCTTTGTGAGTTCTTCATCATGGAGGGCACTAGGGAGGGGCTCCTGGTCCTCGCATTGTTCAGGCTCAGGCTGTTCACGGCTGGAGAGTTTCTTAGCTTTGAGCAGAGTGGAGAGCTGCAGAGTGAGTGAGGTTTGAAGCTTGAGCTGATCTCTCAGCTGCTGCAGCTTTCTCTGATAGAGCAAGGCCTTATGATCAGCTTCTTTCTGCATTCTAAGGACCTCTTCTGCCATCTCTTTACGAAGGCTGTCGTTCTCAGTCCTCAAGGTGTCGATCAGCTGTTGACCTTGCTCCGCCATGTCTGCATGAGTGAGCTTTTCATTTTCTAGCTCATGCTGAAGGGCGACTTTCTCCATCTTTTCTAGCTCATGCTGAAGGACTTCTTTCTCCATCTTCAGGGTGTCGATCAGCTGTTGACCTTGCTCCACCCTGTCTGCATGAGTGAGCCTTTCGGTTTCTAGCTCACGCTGAAGGGCGTCTTTCTCCATCTTCAGGGTGTCGATCAGCT